TATAATGAAACATAGGAGAGAACTATCCTTGAATTGTGAAAGAGAGGATGTGACAAGTGGGTGTGGATAGCTCTGTAACCAAACAAAATTGAAGGCTATAAAAATTATGGTGTGTTTGAGTAATAACAATTTTATAGAGAGTATTTTATGTTTAATTTCGTACATTTTTGAAAGGTGATGGATAAAATAGGGATGATGACATGCTAAGATAATATGTGTCACACTAGTGGAAATTCAGGATTTTTTTTTATATTTCCTTGTAGAATTAAGAACTTAAAACTTGTATACTATTAAAATATGGATTATTAGCTCAGATTTTATGCTATTCTAATTGGTATAACATAAACAAAAAGTGGTTTAATAAAATTTTGAATGTAAGACACTAAAACCTTGTATCATGTGCAGTAAAGTGTACCCGGGCAATAGGGTTAAATGACGTATTATATTATGTTGCTTTCTGAACAGAGAATTATCATTTTCTCTTAATACAAGCTTCGTTCCCATGGGAAAAATAACGACTAGCTTGATTTAATTTGTAATGGCTCTTGTCACATAGTTAGAAAGCCAGAAAAATTTTGATAGTTAGGGGAAATTGTCTGCTTTTTTGTATATTATTATTCTATGTTCTTTGCTGCATTATTCAAATGAATAAAAATTATTTAGTGCATTACTACCATTAGTATAAAAAAAGTAGGGTTAAATGTCATCAACTACAAAAAAAAGAAGACCCAGGTAAATTGACCAACCTTGTATAGAGTTAGGGTAGAGAAAATAAGTGATAAAATATAAAGTTTTACTCAAAACAAACATTTGAAATGTATTTTGGAGGATTTAGAGATTACGAAATGAAATTTGACATTTTTGAAATGAATAAAAGTATTTTTAATCTTAACATGAAAATCACTTTTCACTCGGACCAGTAAAAAATATAATGTATATTCATGGGGATAAATCTTTTTTTTAGTTTATTAAAAGTACTTCATCAAAAATATGATTTTTTTGCATGTGAAAGACTTATAATGTTTACTGTGAAGATATACATACTACATTAAAAGTTAATAGTGTCAAAAGTATAAAGACTAAACTAGTACAAAGAGGTCAAGTGGTCAGTCAAGTCATCTGAGCCCATGTTGAGAGAGTTGAGAAAAATTAAGTTGCAGATTCATGATTTATTTATTTTTTTAATCTAATGCTAAAGTTTTCAAAGTTACTTCAGTAGGTGTAACTTGTGATGTAGAAAGTGACAAGTAAGATATAAATTTGCAAAGAATTACACAAAATAGAATATAAAAGCATGCTTAATTAGTGCAAACATAAATAGTTTTTATGTGTATTTCATAATTTTCGTTTTATATCAGTCATCATTTGTATTTATCATCCTCCAATCACAAATCTTAAAAATAGAACTATTTCACTGACTGCCTTTGGCAACCTTACAAATAATGCAGTGCAGTAAATATTAAATGTGAAATGATCGGGAACTTTCTTTTTTTGTTTTCAATGATGGAAAAGTTTTGCATTATCTTTTTGAACCATAGAAGGCATCATGGGATTTCTTTGGATGCTTAATAAACATAAGTACAAGTTACTTCTATATACAGAAATGTGAATAAATATAATAATGTCTGTACTGCTACAAGCAAGGTAATGGCTACTATGTTAAATCCAAATATTTAAGAAATTAGTATTTTCTTGTTTTGTTAATATATAGGCATAAACATAGCTCATGTAAAGTTTTCTACTAGTAGTAATAAAAAAGACATTCAGAACAAGACTTAATATCCATGTCAAATTAGTAATTTAGGCTTCTGTTTTTGTTTCTTGTACATTTGTTGTTACAAAGTTTCTTGTTATGATTATGTATATTGTCCTTAAGAATATTATGTGAATTAAATTTTATTTGAGTTTAATCCTGAATATGAGTTTTGTACTTCTCTGACTTAAATGAGATATTTTGGCTGTTTATAAAAGTTTTTTGGTTGAGAAGCTGTAGTTAAACTAAACTATGGACAAAGTGAACACTTATTTTTTTGATTAGTTTTAATAAAGTATTTGAATAATTAATAGATGGTATATTAAAAAATGTACTAAAGTTAGACTTAGTACGTACTGAAGTCAAGATTATGGATTCTGATATGGTTATCAGAATGTTAGATGAGTTAGAAACTTTACTGTGATTTCCATCAAAATTCACTTGTTTATAATCTTCATTTAAAAGGTTTAAATGGATTTCATTTCTTACTTCTGTTAAACTAAAATCATGTTGTTTTTCTGTTTCTCAAACCTCACCAAATAGTGATGAGAAAAATAACAATACATATGTTTAGTAAAGCTACGTTTTGTACTCTTTTTTTGAGCTAACAAATCTAACTACAGCTTTCTTCACTGTGACTGAATTGAATTTCAATTAGTGTACCTTATAAGTGATGCTTTAAACCCATTATAAAGTGTTTGCATTATATCAATCAGTTTAGAGAGTTTAAAAATTGTAGTGTAAACTGGAGAGTTTTGGCCATTTTAGAAGAATTAAAAAATTCATGTTACTCCAGATAAGAGTAGTTTATTTGATTTATAAGTACAAAATTTGATCAAATAAACTGGAGTAATAAGTCATAATTATATTTATCTTAAAGGTCAGTCAGTGTTGCTTGAGGAATCAGAAATTTTGTAATATTTATTGGGAGTTTACAATAGTTTGAAACTTCTTTATTTTTGTAATAAAATAAATGATATGCATTAAATAGGAAGACATTGTTTTGAGATTTAGTTTTTGAGTGTCATATTTTAAGTACACAAGTACATACACCCTATCAACAAGTGGTAACTCTCCAGTTACATAATTTTTATTGTGTGTACAGTTTTTATGTATGAGGTTGTGTATAACTAACTGAACATTTTAATTTTTGTTTTAGGCTCTTGGATGTTTGCTATATAAACTCTGTTTTTTTATTCTGCCTTTTGGAGAAAGTGCACTTGCAATTCAGAGTGGAAATTTTACAATTCCAGATAATTCCTACTACTCCAAAAAACTTCATTGTTTAATAAGTAAGTAGAAAAAGTAGTTATTAAATGTAATTTTCTTCTAATTTGAAGTCACGGTTTTGTTTATACACAGAACATGTTTATGAAATATAAATTCATGCAACGTGGAAATAATTCTGGTGATTATAAAACAGTGCAAAAGTGTACAAACTTTGGGTGTAGAATATTTTTCCATGTAGAATATTTTTGTTCAAATTGTGAATTTTCTAATCTGTAAACTTTGAATTTTACCTATATTTTATTTTAAATTTCAAGTGTTAGACATATTTGATTTTCAGTGCATTGTAAATTGTAATTATTGATTACTAACAAGAAGATATTATTAAAAGGTGGATAAAAGTAGCTATCATGTGTAACAAACAAAAACATATTGCTGAACCTTTTATATTGTACATAAAGTAAAATGTGCACATGCATAAAATCATTTTTGAAGTTTATGTCTGTGTAAGAAATGAATAACAATCTATAAAGAAGTTTCCAACTGAAAATTAGATTAGTCATTTAATAGAAAGTTTTATCAATCTTTATCATTTTTCTTAATAGCCTTACTAGTCTTCCCCATATGAATCATCTTCCAGTTCCACAGATGGAAAGTGAAGCCAAGAAAGAAATAGCTAAATTCTGAAATTAGTCATTTGATAGAAAATTTTATCAGGCTTTTTTTTTCATTTATTCATTACAATTTGATGCTCAAAGGTACAAATATATTTCTAATTTCTGGAGTATAGTACTAAAGTTTTTTTGTTTTTTTTTGTATTTTAATAGGATATATGCTTGAACCAGATCCTGATAAAAGGCCAGACATTTATCAGGTGTCTTTTATAGCATTTAAGCTCCTAGGGAAAGACTGTCCTGTTCAAAACCTTCATGTAAGTGGATGATTCAATTGTACTGTTTGTAGATAATTACACATTTAAAGTGTTTTGAGCATTCTGCTAATTATGATTTTATAACAAGAAGTGTAAATATAGTCATTAGTTATGGCTCTTAACTAAAGCTTTTGATAAAATACATTTTAATTTAAACTTTTTTGTGGTTCTCAAATTCTGCCCTGTTTTTCAGCTCATTAGACAAAATTTTCTTTAAAAAGTTATATAATATTTAGCCATCAAAGTTTAGAAAACCAACCATTTTGATAAAATCATTTGTATTGATCTTTTATATTTTGTTTTTTAGAACCATGCTTTGTGTGTATGGAAATCTATTATGTTTCCAACATTCAAATTTCATCACTGTTTTATTGGTCATAAAATATAAAGTATTGTCTGTGGCTTTTGTCTGTGTTTATATCTCTTGAGGTATCATAAATTATTGCTGATCATATCTTGCATTAACCCTTTCACTCTTTAATTAGAGTTCATGGTCAGTCCCCAATCAGTGTCATTTCTCCATCAAAAAGCATCATAAATTAGCAGTATATTACACTGTATTTATGCATTATGATATATAAGACACACTTACATTGCATATCTTGACATTATGGCATCAATAACTTACCTAAACTATTGTAAAAACACAGAGAAAATATAACAGTCAGTTGATATCTCTGTGTCTTGGTGGTGTGGTTGTCTTGCATTGTCCGCTGGCTGGGGCCTCAGCTGAGGGATTGCTTATACCTGTGTTTCCTGTTCACGCTCCCAGAAGTCGGCACACCCCGTGTCTTGTGGTCTATTCAAGCTCATGGAGGGTTGTCACTTTCCACTATAGAGAGAAAAATATTTGGACAGCTGTGGAGAAATATCTATCTCTGCTGTCAATGACAATTAATCTTCTGTTAACTATAGTTGCTTTCAGCAGTGAAAAGGTTAACTCTTTCAAACTGGGCTCTGTCCATGGGACTGACCTCGTAACCATTTTGTGCTTGTTATAGTTTTCATACTATAACTTTTAAATTAGTAAGCGAATGTTAACAAAAGCTGGCAGTTTATCAGTAAACATTACAATGCTTTCATATGCAAAATATCTAATTTTTTTATTAAGTTTTAAGGTTTGTAAAGCAATTTTTCTCTCATCCCTTTTTTTTTTTTTTTT